AACCCAGGTCTGCCATGAGGGTGGCAGGAGGGCAGCTATTGGAGCCAGCTCCACTACCTTCTGGGTGTGTGGGGCAGAAAGCTGAAGTCAGTAACTGGAGCCGGGTAGGAGCCCAGGCACTCTGACGTGAGATGTGTTTTAGTTACTAGGCCAAATGCCTGTTTCAGAAATATGATTTTAGACACTATATGGAGAGTCATCTAGAGAGGAAAGCTTACTTCAGGGACATTTAAAAAAAAAGACCTCTAGTAAAATCAAGGAATAAAATGAGAATGAGACCAAGTCACCAGCTATGATAGGAATGAAAAGAAAGTCCCTGAGATGAAAAAGGCCAGATGGACCTAGAAACTGATCAAAGGCTGGTGGGTGGATGTATGCACAGAAGAAAAAATATGACTGCAAGCTTTGTCCTGGGTGCTGGTGAGAGTGAGTGGCCTCACAGGTGCAGACAGCAATCAGAAAGGAGAGGCAATCTGAGGGAGGTGTGTTCAGTTTTAATACTTTATGTTGGTGAACATAGAGCAAAGCCTTCTAGTTGAATGGGAATGTCCACCAGGCAGAACACGCAGGTACAACCGTGTACATAGCCATGCAGGAGCACTGTTGATGATGGAGTGAAGACAGAAGCACAGGTAAAGACTCAAAGTTACCCAGACTTGAAACTTACAGTATTTAAGATTGCTTTGGAATGTGGATGATTCATGGGTACATTCTTACTTTGCCAAAGGATCATGGAACAAAGAGAAAAATATCAGAATCTACACCCCCACACCCTTTATCATCCTATCCTCTCTACTCCACTATCCATAAGACACTCCCATCTCCATGAGGATATGTGTCCCTCCTTCCAGTTTCTCTCCCTTGCACTTTTCCCTGAGGGAGGTGATGTTTTGCTCCTGGCTCAGTCATTTGATTTTTCCATCCCTCACCATGGCTATGGCCAGTGACCCATTCATGTCAACACATTAGTCCATCTGATTTTGCATTGTCCATGTCCATTCACGTAGGTAGAATAATTGCAGTAGAAGGTACTTGGCCAAAGTGTTAGAATTACTGTACGTTGGAGTTTCTTTATTCTTATTTGCTGCTGAAGATAAATTGATCCATTGTTCTCAGCTGAATTATTTTCTTACTGATTTGCAAAAGGACCAGTTTAGACACCCAGGGAATTTTGGAGGCAGTATGTCCCTCAAATGCAACTGATTGGCATTATCTATCAAAGAGATTGCACAAAGAGGAAGTTAAGCATCTGAAGGGACACCTCAACGTTTGTGCCAGGACCCCATGTTCTTCTTTCTTAATTGTGCCTGCCATCAGGTGAAGCTCTAGAAACTAGAAAGCTGGTAGTAATATCCATATTCAATATCCCCATGAAGTTGCTACGAGTGTTTTCCTTGTTCTGTTCATTGTGTTCCTATCTATTCAAGGATATGAACTGTGCTTCTTTACAGAAATTTCAAAGGAAATACTATATCCTACATTGACCAAAATGTGTGGAAAGCATATCGCTGGGCTGAGACTTTGTGAGTATATTATCTCTCTAAATATGGATACAAAAAAAAAGTAACTGCATCTTAAACTCTTTGGTCCAGTATTAGAGGTCAGAATGTCTTGGAAAAGGTATTTACCCCTTCATGTTAACAAATCAACCTCTACTTATTACAGTTCTAAAACACAGTATTTGCAATGAGACCACTGAAGTTTATTTTTCATCTTGTAAGTAATACATGATTATATTATTTTTTATTTAAGATTTCTTTGCTTTTGTTGGACAAATTATTCTTACAAAGAGGAGAGACAGAAAGATTCTGTATCTGTTGGCTCACTTTCCAAGTGGCCTCCACAGGCAGAACTGAGCCGAGGTGAAGCCAGGAGCCAAGAGCCTCTGCTGGCTCTCTCTTATGGGTTCAGGGTCCTAAGGCTTTAGGCCATCTTCTACTGCTCTTCCAGGCCCTAAGGTAGGGAGTTGGATGGAAAGTGGAGCAGCCGGGACGTGCACTGGTGCCCACATTGGATCCCAGCTCTTGCAAGATGAGGATTTAGCCATTGAGCTTTCATGCTGGGCTCCATGATTACGTTCTTAAGAGACTAAAAACTGATACAGTAAAAATCTTCTTGTAGTGTAACATTCCATCCCTGAAGTAAGCTGCTGTGACTGTGATATACATCGCTCCAGACCTTCTCTTATGTTTTTCTGCACATCATTTAGACACAGGAAAACTAGTGTGATATGTGGGCTTTTTTTTTTTAAGATGTAATTGTTTTACTTGAAACTCATTAGAGTTACAGAGAAAGGGAGAAAGATCTAACTTGCATTTAAGTGGCACCCTACTGAGGGTTCCTCCACATCAGAGTTATTCCTGAATAAAAATTGTTGTTATTCTTCATTTTGATCCAGGATTCTCAGTGGAAATTATTTGACTGAATTACATAAGAATTCATTTGAAGGCTTGCTATTCCTGCAGCACTTGTAAGTTAGTTAAGCACATTTATTTCTGAGATTTTAGTTGTTTTCTATCAAATGAATAAGGTGTTTCAATAATCTCTAAAGTTTCTTCTAGTATTAAAATAACAATTCTGTAAGTATGTATAGGGTCTCATGCATTGAATCCATACTATTCATTTTGAATTCTTCAAGCGTAATAGCTGGGTATTTGGAGGGGTTGGTCAGGGGGAGGAATGCCAAGGATTTGGCCATCTTCCACTGCCTTTCCAGGCATATAGCAGGAATGTAGATGGAAAGTGGAGCAGTGAACTCAAACCAGGGCCCATATAGGATGTTGGCATGGCAGGGCTGTTTTACCTACTATACCACAATGGGCTCCAAATGCCATGCATCTTTATTAGGCCGATTATTGCTACTCTTAGGAAATAGATTCTTCTTTCCAATTTATACAGCTGAAGGACAGTGGGTAGAAACAGCCTTATCTGACACTAACAATAATCCTTTGAATGACCAAGCTCTCTAGGCCTGAAGGGGACAATTGCTTCCATCTTTTTCTTCTGGACTCCCAAACCTTATAGACCTGATCTGGAGAAAAACAGAAGAGATAATAACTGTCCAGTACAACAGGCCCTTCCTTGCTTTTAGTGGGAAGTCCTTTGCAAGCTAGTTATTCTCTGTCGGCATCTATATTGTCATCCCTTTTTAAAATGCCATCATTTTTCATAACTGAAAGAGAATGCTAAGCACTTAGTCTAGTTTGAGGCTCTAAAATGTGTAAGGCAGGCTTCCTACCCTCCTAGGAGCTGCAAGATCGCTTGCAGGGGAAACACGCACAGAAATCAAACATGATCCAACAAACAGGTCGATGACAACACACTGCAGAGGGTCAGTGGAGTAATGCAACCACATTCCTTAAACACTAGTGATTTAGAAAAAAAAAAAATTAAAAGAAAAAAAAACTAGTAACTTGTTCCTCCTTCCGTTCACTCACTCCTTAGCTATTCCTTTATTTCTTAAGTATCTGAGTTTGCTTTGTTTCCATGAGCCAGGTGGAAACATGGTAAGCAGTGCGCATGAGCAAGGCCAAGTCCATGCTTTCAAGGTGTTTATGCTTTGAAGGAAGGGGAGAGGCAAGGGTAACAATGTGAAAAAGAAAAGGGCACAGACATGATGTGCAAATTGCTTCTGGAGAACAGAACAGGGAAAAGAGACTCCAAGTTGGATCAGGGGGCTGTAGTGAGAGTGATATTGGTTAAACAGGGCATCATTGGAAGGACACTGTGTAGAGCCACTGGGCATCATTGGGAGGACAGTGTGGGGCGATACCCTCAGACCACAGAAGGAAAGTGAGAGAAGGGCAAAACACAGGAGAGTGTCTGAGGAACGCCATGAGTACCTGTGGAGTCCATGGAGGAAAGCCGTAAGGAGTGTGGGGCCACAGCCTCCAGGGCTTTGACTGTCATGCAAAAGTCACCAGCCAGGAGAGCCATGTGATCCTGGCAGCGGTCTGAAGCAAAACCGAGCCTGCATCAACGTCATCCAGGGGCTTGCAGAACTAGGTTCTGTCTCTACCACCCCAGCCCTGCCGAGTTCCTGATTGAGTTCTAGATCCGGGCCGAGAATTTGCATCTTCAGTGCCTAAGTGAAGCCAGTGTTTGAGAACCACTTCTGGAGAGTTCCAGAAGAGAGACTAGAGATGGAGACAGCCACAGCGGGCAGTTGGCAGCCATGCGGGTGAAAAGTGAGGCAAGCTGGGATCCATGTTACTATGGTCACAAGTGAGTGTTTTCCAACAAGAATCCAGTTCATGCTGTTTTCTGTTCTGCTGCCACTGCGCAGCTGAAACAAATCTGCTTTTACGCAATGTCAAGACGACGTGAAATCAGAAAAGAATTCCTACTAAGGATAATATAATTCTGAATTAATTCAAAATGATGAGTTCATCTGAGGAGTAGCTTCCCTTCAAATGATTTGAAAGGTTCTCTGGTTTATTCTGGAACTGAACTAGTTCCAAAAAGAGAACCACACCAGGCAGGTATAAAAGTAGAATATTCGTCTGAATATTAGAAATTACAGATAGAGGTACAAACTTTGATCTCATTGTCTTGAATTTGATGAGACTACTAAAGGTCATCTGATCATATCTCTTGCTGCCAGGAAATTTTCCCTTCAGAGTCTTATCAAGAGCTATAGCCATGCTGTATATTTTATTTATAAAGACCCAGAAGGTGAGACTGTTAGGAGAGGTTATAAGTTTGATTAGGAGCTCTGGAATGTTCAAACAGATGCCCAAAGGTGTAGTTTAGACAAAAACTGCATATTCAACATTAAGAAATACAAATTCTGTTCATTCCTACTCACTAGAGATCTAATAGACATTTTCTTTTTTCTTTTCCTAGGGATTTATCCTGTAATAAACTACAATTTATTGAAAGGAATATGTTTGAATCACTCCTCTTTTTGACAGCTATGTAAGTTATAATGTCATCTTTGGAATTACAGTAAGTCTTAATTGTAACCCCCCTTGGTAGTCAATCATATTTCGTAATATCATTATAATTCTTACTTGTAGAAAGTTAGCTAGAATTATGTAGCAAATCTTTCTAATCTCCAGAGATATTTTGGGCCAATGTCAGGGTGCTGCGAAATCACCTGCCATGAATTGTTCTAGAACAACTGCCATGTACAGGACAGACCTCCACAAAGAAGAATTACCCAGCTCAAAACTCTAAAGTGCTCAAGTTGTGAAACCTTGTTCCAGAGAGAGGAAATGAAAATCACTGAGCACAAGTATTTGTCGTGTGTGGTTTGGTGTACCTAATGCACCGCCTGTGTAAATGTGAAAGTGTTAAGTCAGAAGCCAGAGTCTTCCAACTGGGAAGTCTTGAGTGTGTGGAGGCGATGTTTCACCTGTACAAATTAGGATCACTGCTGAAAGATGAATGTTCTAAAAGAGTAACTTTCTTCTTAATTTGTGTCTTTTCACAGAAATCTTGGTTGCAATTTACTCACAGAAGTGAGTTTTGGCACATTTCAGGCATGGCATGGAATGCATTTTTTGCATGTGATGTAAGTGAAATACAAGATAAACACATATTAAAGAGCTGTGTATATGTAAAATCTATATAGTTATCCTTAGCTGAGTGTAAGTCATGAACAAATTCTGCAAAGTACGGCTTAAGTTCCACTCTTTTTTTTTTTTTTTCCAATGAGGACACCAAGGTGCATTGAGGCTCAGGACTTTGTGTGACAGCTGACATGCTCTGCTTTTCCTAGTGCTGATCTTGGCCTTGGGCAAGAGAGCATAGCAAGCAAGTACTACTCCAGTTAGCACTGCTGCCAGAGTCCCCACAGTGCTGCTCGGATTCCCAAAAGCTCCTTGAGATTCCACCCCGAATTTAACTGGGATTGCTGCTCAGTCTGGGGAGCCGAGGTGCTGGTGCTTTCTCAGGGTCACTTTCTTCTAAATGATAAAGCAGAAAGAACAACTGAAAATTCAACACAGTCACCCAGCTCATGGTGTGTTTTGACAAGTGAAGTTATAAACCATCTGTGGGCAAGGGAACTTTTGAAGTAGCAAAGGTGGTGTTTATTTTAAGCTATGATGTGAAAAGTAATAGGAAAGCATTGCTCTAGCCTGATTTTGTGTACATCCAGGGCACACTTGAATGAAATGTTGCAGTTTTATTCCCTCCCTGCTTAACAATTCTGTGATGGTCCACGGCCAGGGGAATTGAGATTTGAGATAGAGATTTTCTTCCAAGCCTGACCTTGGACAAGATAGCCACCTGTCCTGTGGTTCATGATTTCACAGTTCCATTTGCATTCGAGGGAGGGGTTTAAGATGTGCTGGGAGTGAGTGGACCAATACTTGTTGCAGATCCTGGCTGTATGGCCTCCTCCCTCCCTCCATTCATGTGGTGCAGGGTCCCAAGCCTTGGGCCATCCTTCACTGCCCTCTCAGGCCACGAGCATGGAGCCGGATGGGAAGCAGGGCTGCCAGGATTAGAACCAGTGTCCGTATGGGATCCCAGCATGATCAAGCCAAGGACTTCAGTTACCAGGCTACTGGGAAGGCCCATTAAATTATTTTTGTTAATTTATAAATTCTCTGTCATATATATGTATATGTATATAAACTTTTGCACATGTTTATACATAGAGAAGAGGTGTATAATTTTTATCCCATTGCATTTTTCAGAAATCTTGATCAGAATCCATTGACAACTGTCGAAGATCCCTATCTTTTTAATTTGCCAGCATTAAAATATCTGTAAGTATGAAAAATAAACCGCATGAATCATGGGGTGATTTATACTCCTTGTTTTTACTTTGATCAAAATTTAAGTATTTTGCATTGAGGCTAAAAAGTTGCAATTTTAAGTTGAACTGGGCTCCTGGATTAAGAAAAGATGTACAATGTGTAAAACAGCCCCAGCAGACAGTGTTGTTGAGCATATTCAGATACATGTAGATATACAAAGCAGATGAAAAGATATCAAGTAACCAAGGAGTGAAATAGGCAAATGAAAAGGAAGATAATGGCAACAAACCAAACGGTACAGGTTCTGTCCCTCAGTGCCAAGGTCACTGACTTGACAGTGCAGAGTAACTTAAATTTCTTCCATGAGAACTTCCTGGAAGGATCTGCCCTGACAGACTCTTAAGCTGTCTTGTTTTATAGAGTAGCCAAAAGTTAATGCAACTGCATGCTCTTAACTCTTTTTACTTTTTAAAATATCCTAGTTTTTTGTTTCATTTCAATTTTATTAGATTTTGTTCCTTGAAATCATCTTTTTAAGGACAGAACTTTTTCTTGGGGGGTCACATCATGACTGTTTGGGCTTTCTCCCTCAGAGACCTCGGAAGAACACTGGTGTCAATCAGCACAGTTGAGAACATCCTCATGAAGTCTCTCGAACTGGAAAAACTGTAAGTTGTTCTCTTAGGCTTATGTTTTTGTCATTTTGAAGATTTAATTGCTTTCTTGCATCAGAGTTATTCAGGAATAATTTGCACATAATAAAACTTAAGTATGCAGTGTGATAAATTTCATCATTGTATCGTTATAAAACCACCACTAAATTCCTAGATTGCTTCTGACATGCCAAAATGGGCCCTCTGGACCCTTTGCAGTCAACCCTTTCCAACCCAGACACCTGTTGCTTTTGCCTTTTCAACATTGCTGAGTTGTTTTTTTTTTAATGTTAGAAAGATTTATTTTTATTTAATAGCAGATATACAGAGAGGGAGAGACAAAAATCTATTTAATGGTTCACTCCTGAAGTGGCTGCAATGATCAGAACTGAGCCAATCTGAAGACAAGAGCCAGGAGCTTCTTCTGAGTCTCCCCTGTGGGTGCAGGATCCCAAGACTTTGTGCCATCCTCTGCTGTCTTCCCAGGCTGTAAACAAGGAGATGGATGGGAAGTGGAGCAGCCATGACATGAAATGGCACCCATAGAGCAACTGGTGCTTGGAGGAGGTGAATTAGGCAATTGAGCCGTTGTGATAGGCCCTTGTCAGTGTCTTTTAAGTCATGCAGTGTATGTAGTAGGCTTTAGTGTTGGGCTTGTTTAACTGAGCACAATCTTTGCGAGATTACGCTATTGCCCTGCCATTGGCTCCAGCAGCAGTGCTGTTGCTGAGCAATATCCCAGTTGTGTGAATAGGCCAGTTTGTTTCAGTCACTCATCAGTTTGCATATCTGGACTTTCTCAATTTTTGCAATAATGAATAAAGCTGCTAAAAGCACTCCTAGGCAGACCTTTGTGTAAACATGTTTTCCCTTCCTAGGTGATAAACACAAGGCTAGGGTCGCTGCAGCAACTACTAACTGCATTTTTTCCTCCTTAAGAAACTGTTCAACTGTTTCCTAAAGTGACAGTGCTATTTGCATTGTCACCAGCAGGTTATGGGAGTTGTGATTGCTCCTCTTCTGGTTGCAATCTGTGTGTTTCCATTTCAATTTATTTTATAGTGAGTGGGCAGTGTGGCACAGCAGTTAGAGACGGCTGTTCTCTCCCTGAAACTGTCTGCAGGAAGCCTTAACTCATAAGACAATCAGCTTGGCTATCTTTCACTGCAAGATTTTGTTGTGAGAAAATTCATACCTACGTGGGGCCCAGGGTTGTGGCACAGCAGCTTAGGAGTGCTGGTTTAAATCCTGGCTTCTCTGCTTCTAACCCAGTTTTCTACTAATGTGATTGGGAAGGCAACAGAAGAAGACCAAAGTGCCGGGGGTAGGAGACTCAGATGGAGCTCCTGGCTCCTGGCTTCAGCCTGGCCCAGCCCCATCGGAGGATGGAAGATTAACTCTCTTCCTCTCTCTCTTGTGGTATGTGTGTGTCTGTCTCTAACACTCTACTTGTCAAGTAAATATTTTTACCACTGTATTTTTTAAATTATAAATAATCAGTCTCTTATGGATGTTTGATTAATGGATTACATCACAAGATCTTATTACACAATCGCTTCTCCACCTTTTGTCTAAGAGTGAGTGAAGATCTTATTACTCAAAGTACAGGTAAGTATGAAGTGACATAGAGTAAGATTCACATATAATATCCCTAGATTTGACATCATACTATATTAGAGCAAATATATGATACCTGACCTTTTGGGATTGACTCATTTCCCTTAGCATAATGGTCTCTAGTTTGGCCCATTTGTCCACAAAATATTGTATTTCATTTTTTAACACCCAAGTAGTATTGCATAGTGTAGATGAACCACAGTTTTTTTATCCAGTCCACTGTTGGTGGGCATTTAGGTTGTTTCCATGTTCTTGCAATAGTAGATTGTGCTGCAGTGAACATTGGCGTGTGTGTTGCTTTCTCATGTAACAAGTCTTTTGGATATATTCCTAGTAGTAGTGGTATTGCTGGGTCATATGGTAGGTGGATTTTTAATTGCCTAAATGTTCTCCATACTGACCTCCACAGTGGCTGCACCAGCCTGCATTCCCACCAGCAGTGGAAGTAGGGTTCCTTTTTCTCCGCAACCTTGCCAGCAGGTGGTGTTGGTAGTTTTCTGCACGTGGGCAATTCTTTCTGGTGTTAAGTGGAACCTCAGTGTTGTTTTTAATTGGAATTTCCCCTATTGCCAGAGAGCTTGAGCATTTCTTCATGTGTCTGTTAGCCATTTGAATTTGTTCCTTTGTAAAGGTCTGCCCATTTACCCCTGCCCATTTCTTGACTGGTTGGTTTGTATTATTGTTCTGGAGTTCTCCCTTTGTCTCCCATGTAGTGTGCAGAGATCTTCTCCCATTCTGTTGATTGCCTTTTTACTTTGCTGACTGTTTCTTTTGCTGTGCAGAAGCTTCTTAGCTTAATGAAGGTCCCATTCGTTTATTTTGGTCTTGGCTTCCTTTGCTTTTGATGATTTTTCCAGGAAGTCAGTACATACACCTATATCTTGTAGAGTATTTCCAACTTTTTCTTCCAAACGTTTGATGGTTTCTGGGTGTAGATTTAGATTTTATCTATTTAGGTTTGATCTTTGTGTGTGGTGAAAGGTGTGGGTCTTGCAGACTATTACCAGTTATCCCAACAGCATCTATTGAAGAGACCTTCCTTTTTCCCAGATTGTTTCCTGTTTTCTTGCTGAAGATTAGATAATTGTGCATGTGTGGCTTCCCTTCTGGATTTTCTATTCTGCTCCATTGAACTACCACTCTGTTTCTGTACCAGTACCAGGCTGTTGTGATAACTACCACCCTATAATATGTCCAAAGATCTGGGATTGTGATCCCTCCCGCTAGGCTCTTATTCTTCAGGATGGTTCTGGCTATTCGTGTTTTTTTGTGTTTCCAAATGAACCTTTGTGTCATCTTTTCCAGCTCTGTGAAGAATGTTATTGGTATTTTGATTGGAATCACATTGAATGCATATTTTGCTTTTGGGAATGTGGACATTTTGATGATGTTGACTTTGCCCATCCAGGAACATGGTATTTAGCTCCACTTTTTTGAAGTCTTCTATTTCTTCTCTTAACGTTTTGTAGCTTTCCTCATGGAGATCTTCCACATCCTTTGTTAAGTTTATTCCCAGGTGTTTCATTTTCTTCTCTGTTGTGTATTCTCATTTTGGTTACCTTCTATTCTGAAATTCTTTCCTCTGCAGCACTGAATCTGTTGTCAAGCTTGCTGCCATATTTTTCAGTTCTGAAATTTCATTTTGGACCCGTTTAATTTCTGTGAGAACTCTTTGAGCTCTTCCCCATACTTCTCATTGTCTATGAAGAGTTTCATGTTCATTTTTTAATATTCCTTTTCCGGTAGTTCCTCAATGTCTTTTTCTTGCAACTCTGAGACAGGTTATTTTTTGGTCATTTTTGGGGGGAGTACTGGCTCTTTCATCTGAATAGTTTTTCTGGTACTTCTTCCCATTGTTTTGTGCTTTCTTGTCGATTTGAGATTTTAGCTCTGGTGTGCTTTGGGGGCTTCTGGGAGCACTGAATCTGTCAGCTGCTCTGTGGGTTGTGAGGCCTCTCAGCCAGCCAGGTAACTAGGATGTTTGTCAGCTGCTGCCACCTTGTGGGCGACCAGTGCTTTCACTCTCCTCATCATTTGCGTTTCCCAGTTTCAGGCAGGGTGTGGAGCTTTGCAACGGAAAGCCTGCAAATTCCAGTTCTGTGTGCAAGCCCCTGCTGCCCGGCGCCTTCACAGCCTCTGCCCGCTGTGCAGTTGCCGAGAGTGGAAATGACCCAGCCTCTGCTACACAGTGTGCAATCAGTGGCTGGGATCTCCGCACTCTGGGGTGCACCACGCCTCATCTCCAATGGGCAAGCGCCGGCTCGGGGTTATGTGGCTTTGGTTTGCCCTGGAATTTGTACCTGCACCGCTGGGTTCTCCTGCGGTCTGCTGGGTATTGGCACTGACCTACCCTCATGCACTTTTGGAGTCTGCTCTTACGCTGCTGGGTCACTGAGAGAAACCTCTGACCCTGGGGCTCCCACATCTCTGTGTTGGGGGATTCTGGCATCCCTCTGGGTGGCCCAAGTCTGAGAAACCTTGGGTGGGGGTGGTCTCAGGTCTTGCCGACTGTGTCTCTAAACTGCACCTTTCACTTCCCAACTATCCTTTCTCCAATGCCGTTCCCTCCTCTGGGAGAGGCTGCTCATATCTGTGCCTATAGCTTCCTCATTGGGCCATTTTTTTAAATCCCACCAGTGTCCTGATCTGAGAGTCCTTCTGACTCCCTCTGTCTCTTATGGGCAGGCTAAGGCTCCTGCTGGTGTCTTCCCTGCATCGATTCATGACTCACCAGGTTTTGACTGAGTCCTTGCCTGTCCCGGATGGTATCCTGGTATCCGTCTCCACAAGCTCAAGCGGCAGGTTGCCATCCTGAGAGTTCTTCCCGGTTCTCTCTTGCCTGTGTGAAAGTTGCCTCAGTTTCGCCGACTCCAGGGAGCTTCGGACATCTTTTCCTGCAATTCTGCACTTCCTGCTCTCTCTTCTGCTTAATTCTGTCCCTATCTCTCCACACACTCAGCGGCACCCTCAAGTAAATATTTTTACAAATTCAAACTTACTAGACAGAATATAATGGTTGCCCATATACCTGTCACATAGATTTGGAGTAGCCTGTCTTCTTCCCTTCCTTATTCTCTTCTTCCCGCCTTCCCTTCCTTCTTCCTTCAGACAGTTTCACAATAATGCCAGAGATGAAAGCATAATTGAGACCATAAATAAGGTATAGACATATGTATATACAATGAAGTCATCACCCAACTCCAAATGTCTACCACATCAACAGGTCCTTATATCTCTTTGGAACCCTCTGTTCCATCACTCTTGCTCTCCCCGGTGCCTGTGTAAGTCTCAGCATCTTTCTGTTACTATCATATGCATTTTCTAGAATTTTATATGAATGGAATTATATGCTATGCACTCTTTCTAATCATCTTTATTTATGTAATACGATTAAGACACGACTGTTGTCTGTTGAAATAGCTCATTTCTTTTTCTAGTGGAACAACATCTCATTATGTGAACTCAGTATCATTTATCCACTCATCTGTGGCCAGACACTTGGGTTCTTTCCATTTTTGGCTATCCCGAATGAAGCTGTTACAAGAGCAGCAGTAAGCCACCACCTGGGACACTCATACTCACATCAAAGTGATTGAATTCAAGTGCCGGATTCATTTCCAACTCTGGCTTCCTGCTAATGTGCACCCTGGGAGGCAGTAGCTGATGGCCCAATTTATTGGGTTCTTGCCTCCTATGGGGGGGAGACCCAAGTTGGGTTCTGGGCTCCCAACGTCAGCCTGGCCAGCCCTGACTGTGGTAGATATTTGGAGTGAACCAGCTGATGGAACGTTTCTGTTTTTCTCTCCACCTTTCAAATAATTTTTAAAAATATGTCTCAAGAAAAGCTTTTAATCAAATTAGTTTCAGAGTATTCATAAAAACTTTAAGACCTACCATATGTTCCAGCTATTCTACTTCTGAGTATTTATTAAGCTTTACCTGACACCTCCCAGGGTGTTCACTGGAGGAAGGGGAGACAGGATTCAAACCCAGGTGCATGGAATGTGGGTTGCTAAGCAACATATTCACCATTGGGCTAAATGCCTACCCCTGGCAAACTTTTTGTAAACCCCAACATTGACTGAGAGATCCTTTTACTCTGTATCTTTCTTCAGCAATTGCTAGAGTCAGTCTTTTCTGCAGCTAGAGTAATTTCTAATATTAGATCCTTCGAACAGCAGATGAGAAAGGCACTCCCAAGGCTGGGGGCTCTGACTCCTTCTCACAAGTCTGACATTATCCCAGAGTGAGACTTGTGAGCTGGGAGGAGATACTCCTGAGTGACAGTACTGACCAGTGGCACTCGCTTCCAGCCCCTGTCACCTTTATCCCGAGCATACCACACCCCCTGCCTTGCTTACCTTTCTGTTGGGCACCTCTGCATCCTTCCCATATTTGCAACATTTAAGAGCAGCACTTGGTCATCAGGTTCCCAGCCACATAGCCTGATGCCACATCTCAAGATTACCTTTTTCACAGCCTTGGCCTGCCTCTTGACCTACTCAGATAATCCTTTAATTATTAGCTGAATTTTCTGTGTTTCCTTTTAACAGGATCTTACCGAACTCCATGGCCTGCTGCCTCTGCCAATTTAAAAAGGATATTGAGGCTGTCTGCAAGACAGTCAAGCTGCACTGTTGCAGTGAGTGTCTGACAAACACTCAATCTTGTGGTGAGTCTCAAATGCCTGGTGATTTTAATTTCTTATTTGTAAATTAGGGATAAACGCTTAAAGCTATTATGTAATTATTTTAGTTCATTCCTTCAGAGTAAAACTCTCAATTTCTGAACTACTCTCTCAATGAACATCAGGCTCCCAGTGACTGATAGGAAATTTGATGCTCTAACTGTTCCTTGTGCATAAAGAATCACAGGAAAGAAATGGAAGGGAAGGAATTAACGCTGAGGGCCACATGGTGCACTGTGCTCTCAGCTTGGTGCTTTGCTTCCATGAGCACTCATTTGTGCACTGCACCACAGTGTGTAGCCTGCTTTTATACACAGTAGGCCTCCAGTGCCTCTGCCCTAGAGAACAGGTGTAGAACATTGTTGTTGGCTTGTTTTTGCAATTGTGGAGAAGAGTATAAGTGACACTGCTTTATTCTGAGCCTGGGAGTTGGTGGTTCCAAGACAGGCGTGGCTGCCTGGCTCCTCTGATGGAGTGGAATGCCATCCACCAGTAGACAGCCCAGCTCTGAACCTGCTCCGAGGCTCAGGCTTCTCATTGGGCAGTCACCCAGGGACTTTGCTGTGGTTTTCCGGATATCTGGAGTCCCACTAAGTAAGTAACTAAACTCCACCAACTAACTTGAAGTCCCACTAATGTTGGGATTCCAGACAAGACTGCTCTATTCTCCCTAGAGCTTGGATACACATCTCTGTCAGGATCCAGGACTTCAGCATACTAGTGAATGCCAAACAGTGCTGTTTGTTGTCGAGCACACTTTTCCACCTATTAACCCCTTCTCTCCAAGAGGGGGCAGAACAAACAATTTAATGGACTCACAGAGAGGAGAAACAAGATGGAGGCATGAAGGGATGAAGCCAGACACCCGGTCTTCTGTCCACCGTTGACTCTCCACGCACTCATGTTCCTTCTTTGTCATGACGCTCACCTCCTCCTCTCACTCTCACAGCAGGGCCTGGGAGAGAAGCCCAGCCACACAACAGCACACTTGACCTTCCTGCACTTGGAAGTTTGAAGGCTTCCGCAAGTCAAGCTGGAAATACTAGAAATAAAAGCAAAAACTGGCATTTGCAAAAGCAGCTTCTTCCCCCCCCCTTTTTTTAAAGACTTATTTATTTTTATTGGAAACTCAAATTTACAATGAGAAAGGGAGACAGAGAGAAAAACTTCTATCCACTGGATCACTCCCCAAGTGGAAGCCATGGCCAGAACTGAGTTGATCTGAAGCCAGGAGCCATGAGTTTCTAGTCTCCCACCTGGGTACAGGGTCCCAAGGGTTTGGGCTATCCTTGATTACATTCCCAGGCAACAATCAGGGAGCTCAATGAGAAGTGGAACACCTGGGATACAAGCTGGTGCCCATATGGGATCCTGGTGCATACCGGGTGAGGACTTTAGCCACTAGGCTACCACACCAGGGCTCCAGCCTCTTTCCCTTTTACATTTTAGGGCATTGAGCAACATTTACCCAGACACTGCTACCATCCCAGAGAGCTCACAGAACAATCTGTGCATACGTACCACCTAGCAACCCACAGACCACTCCACCTACATCCCAGACCCCTGGCCATATTTAAAGACCAAGGGTTGATGCGGTGGTTTTCTGTATGAGGAACCTTCCGTGATAAGGGCTAGGAAACATTGAGCAGAGACCAAGTAACTGTTGCCTTGGTGGAAAAGGACACATCCAGAGGAGGAGTAGGCCCCTGTTTTAGCATCTGTGCCTTCACTCCCCTCATGTGAATGTGTCTGGCCATGGTCACCTGTTGACAGCAGCAAGAAGGCAAGGTCGCTGGAGAGGGGGAGAGAGGAAGCCTTGTGCCCCCTGGGTGTCTGAGGCAGGACGGTGCAGGATGTGTCTGTGAGGCAGGCACTTCCACAGGGGCCAGCTGCATGGAGACTGTCTCCCGGCCATGGGCTTTTACTGGGTGCTGGGCAGTTGGCCACTGGGGAGACAAGGAACAACCCTAAACAGTGACTGCTTTTTCATACTCAGGACTCTTCTGATTACACTCTTTTTAAAAATCACTTTTTTCTTCCTTTCTGTTGCTGCCATTTCATAGACTTAAGCTTGGGTTAATTTTTCTTCCTATGTGGTAACCAAATCTTGGTGATTCCGAGCCTAAACTGCTGGGGATGTATATCTGTACACTGACACTCAGTTTCCTGGTAACGAAAGCATTCTCTTCCTTTCTGACAGTACCAGAACCAACGACGGGGAATCCCAAAGCGGAATTCCTGAAGATACTGCAGGCCCGGAAGAGGAACACTAGCACGAAATTAATTATTGAAACAGAGAGTTCAAAGAAACATAAGTTTGGCATTCTAGACTCTACAAGTGAGCGACTAGACTTAAATGAAAAAGATGTTATCAGTTCACTAAATTACGTATTGCCTTATTTCTCAGGCAGCAGTGTAGAAGACATAGAGTCGGTGTTACTACCCTACATTAAATTGTTCTTTTCCAGTCCACAAGAAGATAGATCTGTGGATCAGTTGAAAACCAAAGCAAAAGACTTGTCTTTAAAATCTACTGAACGTAAAATGAGAAAGATCCACTTTCTGAAAAATTTGATAAACTACAAAATTCAACAAAAAATGGATGACATTAAAAAAACACAAAAAGCTGCCATGCTGATGCAGCAGGAGACAATCAGGAGGAGAGAGAACGCGCGCCCCCTTGTGGAGGGCACCGGGCAAGGCCGGCTGGGGAGCGCAGGAGCCAGGGAGCAGGAGGAGCTTCATGTGGCCCAGAGGCCCTGGCACCTGGTGGCCAACTCCTTCTACCCAGAGCCCCCACTCACAGAGGAGCACAATGCCAGGGACGCCTCTTCCCTGGAGAGGTACATCGTGGGCAGGCCATCTGCTGCAGCCCGTGCAAAGTCTCTCTCTGAACCGGAAAAAACATTGAATATTTTAAAACTGGCAAAAATGAGGACAAAAAAGGCAGAGACAGCAGAACCAAACACAGATTGCCATTTCAATAACATTGATCTTGCTCCCGTGTTCAAAATCCCCAAAGCCAAACGGAGACTGAAGATGAAAAGGAAAAATCCCATCAACACATGGAGCTCTGTAAAGAGGCCTGCGTTCCTTGCCCTACAAAGTCTCATCGATTCCCCTCCCCAAGAGCCTTCTCCCTCTTCTGGAGACTCGAGTTCTCAGGAATTTCCTTCTCCGAAAGCGATGGCTCTTCCAGTACCACATGCAGAAGATATTCTTGAAGCCAGCCTTGCTGCAGCAAATAACTTTGGAAACACTGTGCCAGAAGAATCTCCCCCTGCCAGCACAGCCCAGGGGCATCCATTGGCCACTGGTTCCCCTGAGATTGCCCCCACTGAGAAAATGCAATGGGGGAACCCTAACATGGGCAGGGACATCCCCTCCATGCCTACAGGCAGTACTTACCCCTTGCAGTCATCCCCAGGGGACCAACTGAACCAGCAGCTTCGGTCCCTCATCCCCAATAATGACGTGAGAAAATTCATCTCAGAAGTTATCAGGACTCTGCAGATGGACTGTGCGGACCCCCAGGTGCAGCTGTCCTGTGCCAAGCTCATCTCCAGAACGGGCTTCCTCATGAAGCTCCTCAGTGAGCAGCAGCAAGTGAAGGCCAAGGCAGAATGGGACACAGACCGCTGGAAAGAAGAGGACTACATCAGCGAGAGCCCAGGAGGCCAGACTGATGCAGGAATGATCGAGCCAAGTGAGGTGAGGACGGCCACGAGACAGGAGAGCTGCCCTTTCCCTTCGCTCAGGAAGTGTCATTAAAGCACCAAGGAGGAAGAACAGGGACTCCCAGTCCATATCTTGCATTGGGCACATAACTTTGGCCAAGGTGGCAATTTCCCACTTTGCTCCTTTAGAGAATGAAGCAGACCCGGCAAGCTAGATGAACTGTAGAGTACCCGTGTGATAATTAGATCATGTAACATTGGATCTTATGTGGTCTTGAAGATCCTATAAGCCACTCACCTGGAAGAATACGGGCTGGAATAGTTAAGTGTTCATGCTATCTCTTTATTTGATCTCTTTTCATTGCTCTTTTTCTTTTAGCTCAAAGAAGTCCCAAGATACAAAATACTCATCATGGCAATATCTGTCACTGTGGCAGTGATAATATTAATAACGGGAGCCTGTCTCGTTGGGGTAAGGACAACGATTCACTTAGGTTTCTAGAACATCCTTTTTTTTTTTTTTTACAACAGATTTGAATGCAGAGTGAACATCAAAGCCACTTGCCCACATACTGCCAGTTGACGTTCTTCTATGGTCACAAAGACATACTCTCCTGAAAAGCATATGCTTGAGATTTTGAATAGACCCTACTCCCAGGAAATCTCAGTGCAACTGGAAACTAGGTAGCAAGCCAAGCCACTGGCTATTGTGAGAGGTGGAAGACCAGACTTCATAGATAACAAGATTTCCCCACAGCTATGTCAACTGTTTGATGTGCTTACCACTTCCCTCTCTGCTCCTGTTGGTCTCTCTTCTCGTTGTTGAAATGATGAGCGCTGTATCAGCACCCTCACCTCACAGAATGGTTACTGTCCTCAGGACACTACCAGAAAACATGTTAAAGATTCTACCTGTTCTAATACATAAGGCAGGTCTAAAGACAGGTTGTTTATGTACCTGAATGTAACTGAATCCTGCTTCCTAAGCTGAACCCTGAGGTGTGCTGTATTTATCCTATCCCATTCCTGGAGCCTGACTCTGTTCACCTATTGTTCAGTTACATAAAGTGCATTACTTTTCCCAACAGGAAAGGGCTTCAATATGAAGTCATTGAAAGATCTGACAGTCTTGACTCTACCCTAGCAGTCCAACCCAGTTTACTTCACTGACACTCTTCCTGTCATGTCAGCCCTGTCTGTGTTCCTGCCTGAGTGGCCCCTTACCATACCCCGGCCACACCATGGCCATTCCTACTTTCACCTGTGCCTTTTCTACCTAAAATTCCCTCACTTCATGGCATGCCTTGACTCCTCCAACTCTCTTGGGACTAAACCTTCTGTGAGATGGATCATCGTTTCTGTGAAACCCCAGGGAGGTATTTCCTCTCCCCTGAGAACTTTAAAAATGTGGCAGTTTTCACAAAGGGAAGTGCCAAGGTCAACACGCGAGGGAGTACAGCAAAGGTATATAAGGACTAAAGAGCTTCCCAGGTCTATTGGCCTCCGGTAACACCCGCCTAGTGTATCACTGTTTCTAAAGGCAGACATGCCAGCCACAGCAGGGGATGGTGACAGGAGCACAGAAAGATGAGAGCCCACCAGCATGCTAGTGGCCATCCTGACATTGCACTAGGGCAGAGGGACAGCCCCAGGCAGATGTGGAGGCAGCCCCCTGGTGAGGCTGCGCCTCTGCAGGAGAGGGACAAATCTGGCCACTCCAGACCTTTCCATTAAATGCTGGGTTCAGCTGATTCCTTTGCATCTTTGTCCTTCCCAAGTTGCCTTCTGATGGTGCTTGAGTGTGCCATGGAGGCCTGCCCCTGCAGAGGCAGCTCCCTGGTCATGCAGTCACAGCTGTTCTGTCTTTTCACTCAGGCTGTGCTGCTGATCAGGTGAGGTTGTTTCCAGTGAGTTTGCTGTTTGTGAAAACAGTCTGATTTCTGAACCCTGGAGCTGGGAGCCACATGGGGTCAACTGCCAAGGGGTCGGTGGAGACAGTATCCTGGATATCTCCAGGTGGCCCCTGGTCTTTGCCTTCGGGGAAATGGCTGAAATTTTGATCAAGTCCTGCGTTATTTTAATGTGTATGTTTAGTTCTGGCTTACTTCTCTTTGTATTCATTCATGTTTTCCTGAGTTCCTCTCCCCAGTTAGATGAGAAGGTTTGTGAGGTCAGGGAGTATGCAGAGTTTTGCCTGTATTAGAAAGATAGTCAGTGTTCAAAGGATCAGAGTTAGGTACAATGTCAAGTTTACGGTGAAGAAGAATGCAATATAATATTCATTTGAAGCAGCATACAGAGTTGAGAGTTCAGTAATACATAGACATGTGTGTTCCTAAAACTTCTGCAGTGTTGCCTCTAGCCTAATCAGTTTGAGAAAACGCTGCCTAGCTGCCTAAGAACTTAGGGTGAATGGCAGACAGTGATAGATGGATACTTCTCATCCTAAATGTATTTCAGTTAATGTCTTTAAAAAAAAAAGACAAAAAGATACTGAGAATAAATTCCAAGCAGTATTTTTCAGTCTTGGGATGGAAAAGAGCTTTCTAAACCCAGTGGCATAGGAGAAACCTTTGAAAGATTTGTCTGCCTGTGTGTGACACTGCTAGCTGACTCAGCACTTGGGGAGGTCAGGCTTGGGGCAGAGTCTCCCCTGTGTTCTCAACTTAGCCCTTGCAGCAGTTCCCCTTTCACAGGTCATGGCAATCAAGCTATGGGCCCAAATGACAAAGCCAACGTCAGACCCAGATCTCCTGACTGCAAAGAATGCATTCCTCATTCCCTTTGTTCTCTTTCCCTTCCTTACAAACACACTGAGAAATACTGGAAACACTTGAACAAGAAAAAGGCCACCAAAGAGATTAATATATTTATTGTATTAAAAAAAAAAAAAAGGTTTCTAAACCAACAACAGCAAAATAAAAGCTAACATCCCAACAGAAGGGGGCGCACTCTGGGATGGATAGGGAGTTGCTAGCACACATCCCTGCACCTGCCAGTCTCACATTTTGCTGATGGGATCTGAGTTTTGTTAGGTTCTTGAAACTGATAGAGTAGTAGCATATTTTCTTCTAGGACTCTTGTAACATTTTGTTCTAATTTCTATTTTGTAATCCCTCTGGAGTTATTTTTCAATATGATTGAAGTAGGGAATCTAGCTTATCTTTCTCTACATGAGTTTCTAAATCTTCTAAAATAATTTTTCTTTGAACAGTTCACTCATTCCTTACCAACCTAAAATATCCTGATCTGGACTCTGCTCTTTCCATCGACTCTGTGGTCTTTTCTTCCACCCATACCTGTATCACACAGGTAAACTCCAGTCACTTTATGGCTTAGTTCTGAGTTTTATAGTTGTTAGAGCGAGCTCCTGCTCTCTCATGTTTCTTGCACTATTCTTGCCCATCATTCCCCACTGAATGGCAGCCGGTCAGTTTTGTAAAAATGTATCTTCGGATTTGTATAAAACTGAATTGAATTATTTTGATTAATTGATTAATTTGAGGAGAATTGACATAATCACAACATTATAGGAATGCAAGTCTCACAGCTTTCAAAAGGGCTTTAGTGTTTTCATTACACAATCTTACACATCTTTTGTTGAGCTTATTCCAGGATAAGCTTTAATCCTTTCTGTTGGTTACAAACGGGACCCTTCTTGCGTTTTCCCATTAGTTGTTGGCAGCACACAGGAAAGCTACCACAGCATGTATGTTGATCTCTTGACCTGGTGTCTGGCCAACTTTCTGGACTCGCATATTACTTTCCACAAAAATGGTAGTTGATTTTCTTGGGTTTTCCGAGTTGTCCATCATTTCACATTCAGATGACATCTGTTTTGTCTTCCTTTGTGACACAATACTGTATTTGTCTTTTTGAAAAATTGATACTCAAGATTTACCTATTCTTATTGGAGAGACAGTGCTGTTCCACCCATCGGTTCACTCTAAATGTCTGCAACAGCCAGAGCTGGTCTGAAGTCAGGAGCCTGGAGTTGCTGTGGGTCTCCCACACAGGCACAGGAGCCCAAGCACTTGGATCATCCTCTGCTGCTTTACTCAGGCTGTTGGCTGACAGCTGAATCAGAAGTACAGCAGCTGGGACTCGAGCCATTGCACAAATGGGATACTGCACTACAGGTAGAACTAAACCTAAACACCATTGCACTAGTCCCTATTTTAGGGCCTCCTCAACAGTGGTAAATAGTAGCAATCCTACTAAGCAGCCTAGTCTCCTTGACTTCTCGGTTTAGTTTTCTGATCCAATTAAAGATGCTTCATCTTTTCCTCTTCAAAGAGGTTTCATGGAGAATTGTCTGCTGAAAGTTATCTAAACAGCCAGTAAAATGTATTAGGCGCCAGATGCATACAAAAAGAAAGGCATGCAAATGATCTGGACATTGTGGTCACTGTGTTGCATAATAATGGCTGTGTCTTCTTCCAAAACAGATTTACTCTCACAGGGCAAGAGCCGACGCCGAGGAGGAGGACATAGGAAAAGGTCTAAGGTAAGTACCAGCCCAGTAATGTGTGAAATGAAACTCGAGAACTAGAAGAGAACACATGGATTCCAGTCACCTCATTGTTTAGTGAGATCTCCACAGACAGGAAGCATACTTCACAGCTGGGGTAGACAGCACCACCATGGCACCTCTGCTGTCCCCAGTCCTTCTTGGATGCAGGGGCTGGGGAGGGACTCCAGCTGTGCCATCCCTGCAGCTGACAGTACTTTGACCATACCAGAGGGCTTCCTGAAGGCTTCCAGCAAGGGCTAGGGGAGTCTGTGTTGCACTGTGGGAGGAGCTGGTCTCCTTAAAGAAGGCAGGAAAAGTTCTTCTCATCCTGCTTGTCTTTATTTTTTTTAATCTGTTTTTCTTTTTTTTTTCTTTAAGATTTACTCTATTTTTATTAGAAAGACAGATTTACAAAGAGAAGGAGAAACAGAGAAGGATCTTATGGGTCTCCCGTGAAGGTACAGGGTCCCAAGACCTTGGGCCATCCTCCACTGCATTCCCAGGCCACAGGCAGGGAGCTGGATGGGAAGTGGAGCTGCCAGGACACAAACTTGTACCCATCTGGAATCCCCGCAAATGCAAGTCGAGGATTTAGCCAATGAGCCATCACACTGGTCATGTCTTCTCTCTTCTAACCAAGCTTCTAAGAGCTTTAACTGGAAGAGATCTTCAAACTAAAGAGAAGTCTGTCTCTTCATTGTATGACAAGGAAACGAGAAAGAGGCAGCATCTTGGCCCCAGGGTCATACTGTTAACATCAGAGGAGGGTCTCTTCCCAGCTGGGGCTCCTCCCTGGCTTGTAAGGGTTTGGGGCTGTGAGCTACGTTTTCTGTCAGAAATCAGCACACATGTACCACACAGGCACAGTTGCTGAAAACAATGCACTCTCCTGTTCTGCTGGATTCATAAGGGGTATCTTGGTGTCAGTGCGAGCCTCATCCTTTAACTAATTTCACTAATCACTCTCCCATCAGTGACACCTGCAGTGTGAGGCTGCATGAGCTAGGTAACTGCTGTCAGACTCAGGCCCTGCCTGATGTGATTCAGTTTACAGGGGTCAGGGACTGTGCACATAGAGGCACCTTCTCCCTCACCCCCAGGTGAAGGAGGCATGTGAGACTCAGTCCAGGTGGGGCTGGTGCCAGATGCTAAAGGAGGGAGACAGTGCACGTGCCCCATGTGGTTGTGCGGTCTGTCACTGCACAAGGGCGCTTGGGGAAGGCAGTGGTTGGGGCTGACGACCTCACACAAAGCAGTGGTTCAAGTTGGCCCTTAGCCACTGGGGCACCTTCAGGCAGATCAGAGAGCTCCCAGGAGCCCAGATCCCAGGTCTGTGGTGATTTTGCTTTGTGGTATATGTGGGACAGGGACACGTTTTGTCCCGGGCACACCAGAGATGTGCGGGCCATGGAGAGTGACACCAGTCTCTGATTGGCTTGGGCATTTGTTTTCCCCCAGGGACCTTTATGAAGATTCCCTCAAGGGAAGACGGGAGAAGAAGCAGGTAAACTGAGGGACACAGTGTGTCGCTGGAGGGAGGGATGGTGGGAGTAGGGTCAAAACATGCATTCCCCTCCCCATTCCTAAGGGTGCTAAACCTCCTGCATTTTCCTAGGTGGGCTTCTTGGTGAGGTGGCTGCGCTGGCTGAGGGGTGAGCGCAAACCCCGCCGGGCAATGAGCCAGAAGGAATTTGGTAAAAAATTATACAATGAAACCTCTGACGAGGAAGCAATCTTCGTGAGAGGGGCAAGGTAAATGACAGACTGCCTTCCCCACGTTACCTAACGGGAGCAAACGGGGCGGGCAGAGAGGAAAAGTGGCCTGTTCTGTTCCCCACAGCATGAGCGAAGGCCCGGGCGAGATGGCGGCCGCTGAGTCGACTGCCGAAGGAGAGAGCGATGCCCTTGAGGAGGTGCTCACCGAGTAAGCCCTTTTGCTGGGGCTGCCTCCATTTATAAAAGCACTTCCCTTCTAATATTCGTGTGTGTGGTATTCATAAGCCATCCCAGCCAAGAGGATAAGAAATGAAAGTCTAAGTTTTATACAAACCACAAGGCCACAGGCAAGAAAGGCTGGTCTGCATCTAGAAGCCTCCGAGGGAGAGAATCCTCCCGTGGCGGCACCATGGGCACAGGACGAACAGGGGTCCCACCACATGCCCCCAACAGTCAGGTTCTAGGACATGAACATGTCAAACACCGGGCATTCCAGTGCCTTCTCCCCTGGCTTATTAAGAACCAGTCATTTACCACAGAGGACCTGCCACACTGGCCCCTCTGAGGTCTTTCAGGTTGCCTGGATATTTGGATGTTGAAGCCTCGTGCCCTGTGGCGACCTGTCCTGCCTTTTCCCCAAGCCCACAGCCTCAAATGTGAATGTGTCTCATGCTGTCGGAAGGGGCACTTGTCCTTACAAGTCAGTGGGAAAGTTCTCTGGTCTGGCTTTCTCTGCATGCTGGCCCAAGTTAGCTCACAACGTTCCTTGCTAAGAAGGAAAAACACATTGTTCTCGCCCGCTGACTTCAGTGAGCCAGCTAACATTCCTGAGTGTGAAACACAAGACTAAGCAGTGGTGGCAGTGGGTGGCTATGGGGACCACCATTTCTGATTTGTTTACTTGGGGCCTAGCCCTGGAACAGGCATTTCTCAGTCTTGTATCTATCCCAGGAATCCATGGACTAGAGTTTTCTGTTTGGTCTTTAGACATCATTTCCTAGAGAAGGAAACAGAGCCCAAGGAACAGAGGTGACCCGCCCTAGGCCACACATCCACAAGGGAGGACTTAACCCAAGGCTGTCAGACTCCCAAGTTTCCTACACCATTCTGCTCCTCCACTCTAGGATGCAGGGCTAAAGGGCTGCCATCCAGGTCAGTAACCTTGGTAGCCACACAGATGGAAAGACAGGGACCACTGCTATTTACTAAACACCAGCATGGCCAGGTACCATCCTGGACAGTTGTGTCGCATCAGTAAGTCACAAGGACATCAACTCTCCCCATGCCAGCTCCCACTGCATCCCTGGGGGATGTTCATTTTAACGAGAGTGTAGGATATAAAGAGGAGCTGAACACGTAAAGGATAAGAAAATTCATGCGGATGGCCACACCTTAGGGAAGCTTTAGCAGTAAGATAGAAGTTACCTGTGGTAGAGCACCTGGCTTCTGCCAGCACTGGTAGGCTGGGGGCCTCAGGGTGTGGGATTTCAGGGAGCCTGGGAGTGGTGCCAGCAGGTGAATGCAGGAACCTGGGACTTGTGTCCAGAAAAACAGAGTGAGCCTGAGGATTTCTGCATGTACTTGATCCCAGGCAGGGGCTCGGGGTATAGAATGTGGAGGGGAGAGCCCTAGGTTAGCATGCTGGGGTGGCATGCTGGTGGACTGGGCTAGGGGAACTGTGAACATGCTTGGATCTTGGGTGGGCAGAGGAGTAGGAAACAGGCCGGTATGCATGCCTGGAGCCTGGGTCCCTGGTGGGCCGGCAGAGCTCAACACCAGCACACCACCACCCCATTGGAAGACTGGGCTGGGGAACCCATGTGTTCCTGGCGCAGGGACTGTGGATTGCTCAGGGAAGAGGGTATGGGGATGTGTGGGAGGGAGGAATGCTGAGGAAGTATGTTGCAAGTGAGGAATGACTTCTGGGGGACCTCAACCAAGACCACCACTATACTTGGCAGGTCAGTGAGGGAGCTGAGGCTGAGCAGTTGGAGGAGGGAAGCTAGAGGACCTTTCTGGGTCAGACCAATGCACCTACCCATGTGGGAGACCCTAGCTGGGCTAGTGAACCTTGACCACTGCTAACTGGCAAACACCAGCTCACACTAAAGCTAGCACTGTGGTTCTTCCTGGCAGGGCTTGATCATAGTACCTACCAGTGAGTGTCCAAACAGGGAGCTGGTAATGTTAGGCTAGGCCATGACATTAACCAACACATGAGAGAACCAGGTCTGGGGGCAGATTCTGTGGGGGATACATGGGCTTTCTCCTGTGGAGCTGTAATATCTGCTGGTTTGCTCAAGAGCTGGGAGGTGGTGATGGCCTGAGCTACGCATGATCGTGGAATTCCCTGACACTTATGGGCACTGGGGTTGAAACAGGCTGGGCTGGTCCAGGCTGCACCACTCACAAGAACACCCAAGAATAAGCTGGGTGGGCCTGGCCACAACATCCACCAACTCACCTAGAGGCCAAGACACGGTGGGGGAACTTGGAGAACTTCCTGGTGGGCCATAGCTCCCATTAGTAAGCATATGATTCAGGTCTGGGTGTTGGTCAGGCCTGGCAAGGTGCTCCACTTGTCAGCAGATGTATGGGTTGGTTTTGGGCAGGGCCGAGCCAAACTAGCACATTGGCATGTGTAGGAGCTAGGGTGGAATGCAGGCTATGCTGGTCTAGGCTAATTACATCATCAGTTTGTGTGAAAGCCAGGGACGGTGAGAGGTTGGGCAGGGCTAGGATGAAGCACTCACCAGCAAGAGTTGGAACTGCAAGTGCACTGAGACAGGTCAGGCTACAGCATGAATTGGCAAAAGCCAAGACTGGGTGGGCTATGCTAGGCTGTGCCAGAACAATCAATGGCACACACAAGATCTGTGGTTGGGATCAGGTCTGGTTGGGGAGCTAAGGGCGATGCCCTGGAGGTTATGGTTCCAAATGGTAAGCACGAGAACTGGGATGGGTTGGCGAACTGTCCTGGACATGACTATAGTATACCTCAGCATGGGTGTAGATTGGGTCTGGGTTGTGCCAGATTGATTGGATCTTGGGGTGGACCATATGAGCTTGAGCTGTAACATGCAACAGTAAGAGCCAGATTGACTGTGGGCTGTTTGGGCAAGGCCACTATTCCTACTAGGATAGGAGGTGGGCCCAGTCAGATTGGGCCAAGGACCCACCAGTGTACGTGAGATCTACCACTGGGAATTGACCTGATAGAGAAACTCAGGGAAATTCTGTCAGGATTCAGTCCCTGCAGATGAGCATAAGAACCAAGG